ATTCATGATGATATGGGTAGAAAAGACACTCAAAGAAACAAACTTAGAACTTATAGAACTTTTAAAATAACCTACCAACAGGAAAGTTATCTCAAAGAAGTCAGCAATATCAAACATAGAATAGCACTTACTAAACTTAGAATTAGTAATCATTCTTTAGAAATTGAAAGAGGGAGGTATTCACGCCCATATGTCAAACCAGAAGAGAGAATATGTCCTCTCTGCAAAAATGAAAGTGAAGATGAGAAACATTTTCTTCTCAGATGTTCCTTTTTCTCCACAAAGAGAAAAGAAATATTTGAAAAGATAAATATTATTACAAAGAAAAATATCGAGTTTCTTACTGAAGACGAAAAGTTTCACTATATGATAAATCCAATTTCAAACAAATTGTTACAAAAAATAATCGCAAAACTCATTTATGAATGCTTTGAAATAAGAAAAAAGGTTACTGGAACAATTCATTAATAATATATACAATCATAAAGTATGTTATTGCATATAAACTCTAATGTAAATACCATTTACACAGAGGCAATAATAAAATATCTTGTCTATCTTGTCTTGTCTTGCATCGAACCCCGTTGAGAAAATAGAGGCCCTCCCTTGTAAGACAATTAAGAAAAAATTGTGGCCATCCTTGAATCAGGTAAAAAAAAATTATGACCCTTCCCCAAGATATATATACTAGATATTCCGATTAAAGATATATTAAAATAACTTTTTGTTGAGTAAACAACTGGCACGTTTTATTCAGGGTTCGTTGTACTCCTTGAAAAGCCCTGGAAATGAAAGGTTTTTATAAGTGCATTTGAAAAGACCTTGGTAAATAGAAAAATRCTGCTGGAATACTCCTTTTAAGTTCTTTTTATCGTATTACATTTGTGCAAAACAATCATTTATGATAAGTGTTGTGATCCTTTGTTGGTGTAATATCGTATGCGCAGGCGCGTACTGTGGAACTCCCATATATTTGCTATACGGGGACGTGCCGCTGGCCAGGGTATGGTTTTTGGCCTTGCTGTCTTAAACAGGGTATACATTTCACCCGAAATTGTCTTAAACAGGCTCTACAATTAAAAGAGACCGATATAATTTTTGTGTGTGTCTTGGACAGGGTAATATTTTCATAACACCGTAGAAATACCGTTTCACTGTCCCAGAATTAACGTGTTATCAAAAACTTCTTATTGGCTTTGATGGATGTCAGTATATTTGCAGTTTTGATGGTTGCGGCGTAGATAGCTATTCCTTATTTTTCCRATTTGTCTTGAACAGGGTATGGATTTTTACTTTTTAGTGTCTTAAACAGGGTCAGGGATTTAGACCGCTGGCGGCACGTACCTATCCAAAATGGGGTCGAGTGCCCCCCCCGGGAAAATCTCTAAACTTTTTTGATAAGAGTTTTCAAGATAAACACAAATTTTTGAAAAAATTTAACTCTCCCCAAACACACATTCAAAAAATGTCCCCACAATAAATAATGAAAACTCCCTAATGAAGTGTTTTCAAATGCTTGATCAGTCTTTTAAGTCTGTGTTCGTTCGTGTAGGTGTCTGAGGGTATAACCCACATAGCTTTTATCACAAAAGCCACATTGAAATTCGTAAACGACACAGTGTTGGTTTACTAGAGATGGTTTTTGTTCTAAATATTTTACGTCGTCTGAGAGTTTTTGACTGACGAAAACAGGCTGAATAGAGACATTTATTTTGTTGCTGAGATATTTTAGATGCTTTTTGACAGTGTCGGCCGATTTCTAGTCTTTGAATGKTAAAGTGAACCGTACTATTTTATCCCAAGAGAAAAACAATTTGAAAAACAATTTAAAATTGAAATTGAAAAACAATTTTTTACAACAATACATTATTCTAATCATGGTCCTATAAATTATCATTCATTTTGTATCACTTGATAATGGAGTCACGAACAAGAGGCCGTTATGCATGAGCATGCGCGCAACCGCTGCGTTATAACGACCATGGGCTCTAGAATACGGGTAGAATAACATTGTAGTAGCTGCGGAAGCTTCAATTCTGAACATAATTGCTGTTTTTACTTATCTTCCACATTTTTCCAAACAAAACCAAGTAGATATATTTACAATGCACACTAATATCTTTCAAACTTTATATAAATTACTGTGAGTCTCGGGCTAGATTTATGACACGAAGCCACTTTGTACCGTTAAAATGTAGTATATTATTTGTGCACACCTTTAGCAATAATAAATTCCTAAGATGTGAATCGATTGCACTGCAATAGTTTATTTCATAACTTATAATGATACAGCTATAGAACTACACATAGATATTTATGATAACTTGATTCAAACAAGCTCAACTCTTCAGCCAAAAGAATGCTAAATCTGTCGTGAGTGCTCAACAGCACGTAAGAATTTGCAGAATTAACACCGTTCCACATTTTTCATAGACAAGAAAACATTATCAAACCATTTGCAAAGCATAAGTCTTGATATTGGTAGCCTTATTCTAATGAGTCCTGGTGGTATATAAAAGGAAAGTAGTATTTCATGTAACAGTCAATAATATTTAAGCGTAAATATTGTACACTTCAAGAAACTGTCTTTCGAACATTTCGAGGTCGATGTTACTAAACGATGCCTAATTATATTACTACATGTGTACATTTACCATTTACTTCATGACCTGCGTTGAATCTTGACCAGCACTCAGCAAAAACTGGAATAGTAGTTGCGTATATAAACCACTGCAGCCTCCATATTGTAAACACAAAGTCATTAATATCAACATTTCTTAAATAAGATTTTAAATGGTCCCAATAAGTCCAATAACGCCAGTGTTTTTCCTCGTTGTAGGTTACACTATTTATGAGTGTTCTTGAGTCATGACAGAACATTTCAGGGTCAAAAACAGCCAAAAACATTTTTGGAAATTGTCCTTCGTGTCGTTGTAATTTCCCGCTTGAAGTGAATCACTAATGAATTTCAATGAATTTTCAACAGACTGGCGCATGCGCACGCCAAACGGCCCCTTGTTGGAGTCACGATGACCCCGAAACGTCGTGAATTAAATCAACTACTAGTTTACGTTTCGTTTCCTTAAACTTTATTATTTCAATACACAGTTGTGACAAAAGATAAATGTTATTACCGTAAAAAAGGTGAACTAATTACTGACCTTCCCTTTTTACGATGTTAAATAAAATTGTTTTTTTCGCACAACCGCAGCTGTTACTAGTTTACCCCTAGTTCCCACCACAAGAAATATAGGTTAACTGATCATGAGTGACCAAGAAATAAGCGTGGAACCGAGGCGCCAAGGGCACTGCAACTTGAMGCCTCGTTTCAATGCTTTGTTCATGTTCACTGAACYTGAGTATGGAATATTGTGAATTGTATATCTTTGTAGGAATACGTGAAAGTTCCTTGGTGTATGCCATTACATCCGCCGCRGTAGCCTACGAGGTTACAATTTTAAAATGTACTCGAGGGGGCTTGGGCATGTGTGGCTGCGAAGCTACTGTTAATGACTACAACAGAGACGATGTTTACGAGAAAGACTGTATTCAGTTTAATGAGTTCTTGAAGTATGGCGAAGAGGTATCAAGACGTTATATGGATCCACCCAAAMACGACGAACTCTCTCTGCTCATTCAACATAACAATGAAGCAGGACGACAGGTGAGAATATTGTAGATTTTCCTGAAACTTACCATACAAGTTCGCCTCACCCCAGAATAAAAACAAATCCGGTATTATAAGGCTTTCGTTTCCATGACAACCACCCCCACTGTTTTGGGTCATTTTTGATCCTAAGCAGCCGTAAATAGTTAGCTTTTTATGCCATCCTTACTAACTTTTCTATATCACAGCAAAGAGTTATTCCTGGAATTTTGTTGGAGATACTTTCCTTTGGTCTGGTTAGCCTGAGGTTTCAAATATTTATGAAATGCTCAATTTTGGGTAACTCTGCTGTCTTGTATCTCTGATGGTAACGCTAAGTTTGAAGCAAGAAATACGCCCAGTGCTATTCTATCCCAGAAGTATCAAAACCTACTTTCAAAATTYTGGGTTCTTAAATATTTACTAAATGATAGACTTCCAAACTAACCTACCTCGTAACAATTTCGCTAAATTTTTAAATTAAATTTTTAATTTTTAGCTTAAAAGCTAATATCCTCAACAAAGATATCAAAAAATTGATAACTAAAACTGCTTATTAACTTATAAAAGCAGTTTTGGAATCATTTATAGTATTGCATGGATATAACCACTTTTAAAGATATAGTCGAGATCCAATCAAAGCTACAGGAGATGAACGTTATTTTGGAAAATGTCTCATATCGTAATTCAAAATCAAAAGATTAAAATATGCACTGGAATTGCCATCTTACCTAAATTAATCCATTTTCTCGTTTCCTATTTATGGCCGTTTTGGATTAAAAAAGTGACCAAAAACAGTGGGTGTGGTTATCATGGAAACGAAAGCCACCCCCCCGACCTTATGATACTGTTTTTTCTTTATTGTAGGGTGAGGCAAACTTGTATGGAAAGTTTCAGGAAAATCTAATTTTTTTTCTTCGGTTAGACAAGCGTAACGCTGAACCCGCCTTTGATCATCTGAATACTAGTAAATAATCATTAAAGACGAAAATAAAATGCTTCATTCAGTTTTTCTTGATTGCTATTTAGGCTAATAACTTTAACGAGAATCAGTGTTATGAATGTATTTTAGGTCTTAAAAAATGCCATCCAAAGCGGCTGCAAAACTGTTTATCTTGGATGGTATCTTTTCGAACGCACCTGTTGGCGTAAACTACCATCATTCAATAGAGTTGCAGGCGATCTTCTAAAGAAATTCGAGCGATCCTGGCGTGTACGTGCGAACAGAACCCTGGAAAGGTATTCCGACAAAAGACGCCCTTCAAGAACAGACCTCGTGTACACCGATCTTTCTCCCAGCTTTTGTCGAGCTGAACCGAGCCTGGGAACTGCAGGAACTCAAGGGAGACTGTGCAAGAAGGACRCTTATGGCAGCGAAGGGTGCAAGAGATTGTGTTGTGGAAGGGGATTCAGTACCTCAGTTAGATTAACAGGAAAAAAATGTGAATGTGAACTTAGAGGGTGTTGTAAGTTGTATTGCAAGTTTTGTGATAGGAATGAGTTTGAGCATCGTTGTATATAATCCACTGCGAAGAAACATAGTTCACCAACAGCAAGATATTGTGGTTGACTAACCACGCACTTCAATGTGGTAAAAATATACAAATACTATTAAAATAAAAAGCAKTTTGATAAATAGCGACTGTTTGTATGTAYCATAACCATGTTTTCTTCTTAATTCTTTGAAAGTGTAATAAAGGCCATCGTCATCATCGCAGCCGATATCAGTGTCAGACTTTCTCCAACTCTCCGGTTTAATTTAGTTCTGCCACCAACTCCTGGGCTAGTAATGGCCGCCGGTCTTTTATCTTTTCAATCTCATGGGAATGGTCGAAAAAAGGAATATTTTTAGCTCCCAGTGAAGTAGTAAATAGTCAAAGTAGTGGGAACTAGCGGTAAAATAGTKTGGGCAGCGTCGGTGTTTCTAAAGTAACAATTGTATAAAAACATAAATTTTATATTTGTTTCATTTGTTGAAACATTGTAAACAAGTAGGTTAATTAACTTTCTGACGTTTCGGTCGTTAATGCTTCGTCGGAGTAAAGAGATGGAACTAGGTAAAGTGTGTATATAAGCACTATACACCCTTTTAATAAGTCCCGAGGTATTGTGTTCTCCGCACTTGACGTCAAATTTATTCTTTTGAAATTTTTACAATACAAAAGGAATTCAAAAGAATAAATTTGACGTCAAGTGCGGAGAACACAATACCTTGGGACTTATTAAAAGGTTGTATAGAAGCTTACATATATTATTATATATGTATGATATCAAAGAGGCAAGATTTTGCTGTAACTCCGAGTTTCATGCTACGCACCCGCATCAGACAGTATTTAATGATCTATAACTAGCTCTACACTTTATGTGTATTGAGCACTCTTTAATGGGATCAGCCACTTCCTCATACGATTATATTATTATATATCATTGTTATTAAAGAAAATAGACCAATAGGAGCTAGGTAGGCATGGTAACAAGAAATAAACAATTAAGGCAAGAGATGTGTTAGAGAGAAGAAGAACAAGAGAGGTGCTAAAAAGCGAAATGATATACGGCCACACCGTTAATACGGCCACTTCTCGATGTCCCTTTGGTGGACGAAATAACGCTACTCAAAACGAATTGAAAACAGGAGAAACATTTCATAATAAAATCTCTCAGAAATATCCACAASAAAATCAACTTACCAATCTGTTTACATAGTCACGTGCATTTTATCAGTATTCTTACACCATTTAAAACTCTATTTTCGACATTTAGTTGTCGGTATAAAAAGTATTTGACTGTCTATTTCTCAACTTGTTTCACCAAGACTTATCACCAATTCCCTTGTACTGGTATCCGCTGCCCAGTTAATACCACTGCCGACGATAAGGGCCTGTTAAAACATAGTTAATATCAACTATGGTTAAAACAGTTAATTCATCATCAGTGACTGAGGTTTTTAGTTGAGATTTGGACCGAATTCTTCATGTTCAAGTTACGTCACAGCGGCCATCTTGGAGGAAGTTTAACAAAGGATTTCTCATCTACATCTATTGTTCATTCCTCCATCATGGCCGCCGCTCGTTTATCTTTTGAATCTCATGGGAATGGGTGAAAACGATGAATAGTCCTTCATCGATCCCTGCGCCAGCTTTAAAGGAAGACGCACCTTTGCATTGAAGCGAGACGACCGTTGAGTGTGCTATGTTAGTAGCAACCTTCATTCACACCTATAAACAACAGACCTAATGGACTAACGCGTTGCTATAAATGTTTCCATCCAATTCAAACCACCCGGGAGTAAGTTTCATTGTTCGTTGTATTTTCATTTCAATTGAATTCTTAGAAACAAATGTTCCTTTTCCCACAGATTTTGCATTGGGTGATGACGTGATAGACCTAAACCGTCAGCGGTTTAGGTCTATTATTTAGAGGCTTTTATTATTGCACGCTCAACAGTCATCTCGCTTTGATGCAAACGGACTGCCACCTTTCAAGATGGCGCTGGGTACGGTGAGGGAAGTAACGTGGTGTGTTAAGGTGGTCTTGTTACCTGAAATATATTAGYAGTGAGATGAAGTTTTGATTGTACATATTGGTGTCTTTTATTTGCTCTAAACGAAAAGGATAACAATTGTTATTAACAAAAGTGTAATTTAGATTGAGAGTATGTAACCATGGTGATCCATTTCAGTCACGTGCTTGGACATATATCCCCATAACATACACATACATAAACAAATCACATTATTGACCAGATTATTGACTTGGAAATAAATATCTAGACCATATTAGTGGTAGAGACCTGATGTTTTATTCATCAGTTTCTTTAAATCTAATAAACATCACTACGTTAATGTTTGTTGCACAAGCACCATTAAACAAATAGTCTAACTGAAGTAATTCATTACTGGTGTACCATGCTGCTGAAGGAGAATGTCAAACGATTGACAAATAACTAAAGATTTAATACGAGCACAATAAGCTATTGACCAAGCGATGACCTTTTTTATCATCAGCGAGAAAACTTGGTTTAATGTTGAAGGTTGAGAGAATTCAGACTTTTGATTAGTTGACGGCACTATCGCCTGACATAATGAGTTCGAACAAACATAGCGGGTTGCGAGCACTAATCTTAATTAGTTTAAATTGCAAAACAAGCTAGCTAGTGGAGTAATACGGCCGATATCAGGAAACTTTGTTGCAAAACGTAGAACGTGAGCCTACTTGTACATCTCGAGTGATCCTTTCTTATTCAATAAACTTATGTTTCTTTGTTTAAAACAGTTTTTTTTACCCGGGCGGGTACTCCCATATATTTGCTATACTGGGACGTGCCGTTGGCCAGGGTATGGTTTTTGGCCTTGCTGTCTTAAACAGGGTATACAATTTAGATAAAAGACCGATATAATTTTTTTTGTCTTGGACAGGGTAAGATTTTCATAAGAAATACCGTAGACATAGTAGAAATACCGTTCCATTGTACCTGGATTAACGTGTTATCAAAAACTTGTCTTTGATGGATGTCAATATAATTGCAGTTTTGATGGTTGCGGCGGAGATATCGATTCCTTATTTTTCCGATTTGTCTTGAACAGGGTATGGATTTTTACTTTCTAGTGTCTTAAACAGGGTAAGGGTTTTAGACCGCTGGCGGCACAAACCTATCCAAAACGGGGTCCAGTATCCCTCCCCCCGTTTTTTTTTCTTTTTTTTATATTTATAGATGAAGTAACGTTTTGTATGTACACGCAATGCTCTTACTCTTTCATGGTATCTTCYTTTGACAACAAACCCACATTAGAGCTTTTTCTTTCTTTTAACATCTAGAGAAATAATCAAAGCATATAGAAGTTGTCTTTCAGTATAGTGGTATATAAGAAGTTTCTTGCACTGGTGTGAAATCAGCCGGAAAATACGATAGCAGGCAAGTATCGAAATTTCTTCACAGTAATCTATCTCTTGAAAACAGGCTCTGTATTGATACCATAGTTAATAGAGGGAACTGGAACTGGTGCCCCCTCTATTAACTATATTCACATMTTACATGAAGTTGATCTTACCTTACGTTTCATCATAAGTTCTCGATTGACTGCCTTTATTTCTGCAACATTATAGTAACGGTGATTCTGACTTGTCTACAATTATTTTTGCTCTTATTGCTTCTTCTGCTTTCATTCAACTATTCCCACTGGCTCTCACTCCCACTCGAATTCATCCACCACTCGTCCTCTTCTAATACTCCTAACTGTTCCTATTGCTACTGGTACTCATTATAATGCTTCTTGACATTTTATTCATATCACTCCTTCCAATAAATTAGAGGATTTAATCTCCCCTAACTGCAGCTCAAGTATGAAATTATGAGGTCGTAGTTTTATGTGCTCGAGTTGGAGGTTTTACAAAAAATCTCCTGCTCTTTTTAATACTTCTTTTACTCTAATTCTCCTATACATCCTCTTTCTACTGGTCCTGTTTCTCCTTCCCTACAACACGATTCCTACTGTCTTCCTCCTTCATCTGCTTACATACGCCTACTACTTCTATTGCTGTTACTAGTTTGAGAGACGTGATGGTCCAAATAAGCATAGTATAGGCAAAGTAAAATATAATAAATAATATGGCATAATAAAATAGGCATAGTACTTCGGGCATGGAGGACTGGGTTAGATTCCCAGACCAGGCTATCAAGTTGTTTCCTTCGTTAAAGATACTTTACTTTCTCAATGCCTTGTCTTCTCAGAAAATGATGTTAAGGAGACCTCATCGCTCTACAATTTTATTAGCACTGGAGGGATGAAAAAGAACCCACACCACCATTCAATTGAGAGTAGAGCAAGGAGTTCCCGGTGGTATGGACAGGGATAATCCTAGTATAGCTCTACTTCTGACTCTCCTGTCTTTATTGAAATCTAAACTTGTTCTGCTGTAATTCTTCTAATAGACTTGTACCAGTCATTACAACTCTTCTTTTTTCTCTGGCGCGCAAAGGATCAAGGGAAGTCAGAAGAAAAAAGTAGTTCGGACTTCCCTTGATGCAATGCAACCCATAAAATAAAATGAGCAAGAGAAACAAACTGGGTACGAGCAAGTCATTCTAATGCATCCACTCGAACTGCTGCAGTTCTTTCAATTTATAAAAACTAATGCTTGTCTCACCGAAATTCTTTTGTTTGAGGTCATCCAGTTCTTTTTGGGCTTCTGCAAGTTCCTATATAAGAAAGAGCAAGTTAAGCTGTGGTTAGTAGAGGAGAAGTAGCCAGACATACCTTAAAGCGTGGATTTCACTAGCGCATAAGCATAGGCATAAGCACGAAGTACAAGAGTCATATGCGCCAGTGAGAACGGGCTCAAAATAAGCATAAGCATGAGCACAAGAAAAACGAGCAATGCTTGATCTTCTTGTGCTTATCTCATGCTTATGCTCAGTGAGAACGGGACTGCATAGGCATAAGCATAGCCTAGTACCGAAATAATACGCTCGTGTGCATGCTCAATGTCTTATGCTTATGTCAAGCCCGTTCTCACTGGCGCATATGATTCTCATCCTTGTACTTATGCTATGCTTATGCGCTAGTGAAATCCAAGCTTAAACAACTACAGTCCTTTTGTACCCAATACAGAAACAATGTAAATTCTGTTTAAAAGTTAGTAAAAAAGGGTCTATAATTCTTAGATTTAGTCTTGGGTAGGGTGTGAATAAATAGAATTTTAGGTCTGGGATAGGTTCAGTTTTTTGATGACCTAATCATGTTGGGTTGGCAATACCACTTCCCCCACCCCTCTCCCACAAGGCATATCTGATGAAGTTATAGAATTATCATTATTGATTAATTATATGGACAATGCAAATGTATCTAGGTGGTACAAAGCACCAAATTAAATCTTCTGTCTGTTAGTAAGTAAAAC